GACGCTGGCTCGTCGATGCCGTCGTCGGCTGGTTACTGTCGGCAGCGGTCATTCGCCGTCCGACTTGACCTGTACTTCTTCGTGGTTGGTCAATCTCGACGATTTCAGTCGCGTTCTACACATTGATCGCGAGACACATGTTGTGACGGTCGAGGCTGGGATACGGTTGAGGGATCTCGGTCGGCGATTGGAGGAACATGGTTTGACGTTGTCGAATTTAGGCAGCATTGACAGCCAATCTATTGCTGGCGTCATTGCGACGGGGACCCATGGAAGCTCCCTGCGACATGGTCTGATCTCAGAATGTATCATTTCGCTGACTCTGATGTTGGCGAACGGGCAGCTGGTGCGCTGTAGCGCAACCAGCAACCCGGATCTTTTCCGCGCGGCCTTGATCTCTCTCGGCGCATTGGGTATCATTGTCGAGGTTACTTTGCAGGCTGAACCGACGTTCAAGGTTGCTTGGAGACAGACGCGACGATCGCTGTCCAGCGTGCTGGCCGAGTGGTCCTCCGGTCTGTGGACTTCACATGAGTTTGTGCGTGTCTGGTGGATGCCGTATGAGAAGAGTGCGATTGTCTGGCATGCGGACAAGACTGATCTGCCACTGCGGAAACCTCCCAAGACCTTCTATGGGGAGTGGATAGGTTATCATATCTACCATAACCTGTTAGCACTCTCCAACTATTTCCCCCGTATCCTTCCCTGGGTAGAATGGTTTGTCTTTGGCTTGCAGTACGGGTTCAAGGCGGAGAAGACGGTGACGGAAGCCGTAGAGCCTGCCCGTGAGGGGCTTTTGATGAACTGTTTGTACTCACAATTTGTCAATGAATGGGCCCTCCCTCTTGCGAAGGGCCCCGAAGCGATCACGCGCCTGTCGGCATGGCTTCATGGTGATATGGAGACCGCTCGTATCCCATTTTCGGTTGATGGGCTGTGGGTACACTGCCCCGTTGAAGTCAGAGTCGCAGATTCCACCTGTCTTGGGAAACCTCGCCCTTTCCTCGACCCGACCTACCGCGATGGGCCTACTTTGTATCTCAATGCGACTCTCTATCGTCCATACCATCGGGATCCCCCATGTAAGGATCGCTACTACGAAGCGTTCGAGTGGCTCATGCGGGAGTTGGGCGCGAAGCCACACTGGGCCAAGAATTTCAAAACAGGACGCCAGGAGCTGCATGAGCTCTACGGCAAGGACATGGATGAGTGGCTTAGAGTGCGGAAGGAAGTAGATCCTGACGGCATGTTCCTCGGAGAATGGCATCATCGCCACCTACCCTTGTCTGGCGATGAGAAAGAGACGGAGTTTGCCGGACCAACCGCTTTCCCGCTTTCGGAGCGCGAACAGCTCCGTCGCCGGGTAGATATTCGTGGGGCTGGTGATGGCCTCGAATGGATTGGAGATAAGCGGTGGCAGGCGGCTTCAGGGCGTCCAACTGCTGCCTTGTCGAGTCTCGAAGCAAAGAATCTGGACGATGTATCAGGTTCGAGTCCTCCTATGACAGCCACCAGCGAGGAAAGTTTCGACTTGCTCGCTGCTGGTGAGGCAAGTGTTGTGCTTCCAGGTGGCCACTCGTAAAACGAGGATGCCTGACAGATAACCTAAATTAGCAAACAAAATGCCCTTTTTTTGAGGCCTCTGAATGGCTGGCGCGAATCGCTTTCGCCCTGAGTCATTTTTCCCGGGATTGTTGCTATTGTCTCCGGTGATAATGTAGTCTATAGTATCTCCTTTTAAGATTGTCGATGAACGCTTCAACGTTGGTATTCTTCGTTCCATCTCTTCTGGTTTGCGTCGGTGTTTGCTGCACAGAAGCACTACCTCGCCGTCAGGCACGTTACAAAGGCAAGATGCCATACTCGAGCTTTCTCCGACAATCTCATTTTAGTCATTGGGTATTGATCTGATCATGCTGTCGAGAGATTGGAGCCTTGTCCCTGGTGTCTTGCTTGTGCTACATTGGTCAACCGTGATGTGATATTCTGACAGGTAGCATTCCGGCTGTGCTGTCTTCGAGAGGAAAAGAAGCGATTTACGTTTTTATCTACCCCAAATCGAGACGTTCAGTGGTCACCCTGTCCGACATGTGTCTGTGGGGCCAATATTTCATCCGCAAGCCTGGCACTAACTGAAATGCCACTCAAAGTTAACCATCATGGCGCATCTTAAAACTTGAAGGCACCAGTTATTGTACCTATCTGGGTATTCGGCTTTTAGCCAGGACATTATCAGCCCGATTAGCAGCAGCAGCATCCATTCCCTTGCGAACACGGCGTATGAGCTCTTGGGGGTAAGGCCGGATATGCTTGTTTATGTCATTCCATGCACGCAATACTAGGATGACGCGATACAAAATGCAGGTTGGCATGAACAGAGGGCCTTGACAGACGGTCAGACCAGCTGCTGTGAGAATCATGGGACTCGTCCATGTAACCAACTCAGGTCCTCACCTGATGTGGATGAATCTGTCATTTATCGATTGCTCTGGTGTTTGATTGATACTTTGAAGGATCAGACTGGAGATAGTTGTTGTTGCTTTGCTGTTGATGATGCGGGACCTGCCATCTTCGGGTATCACCACTCTTTGGATTTGGCTCCATCTCTCCCCACCTTTCCCCCATTCTTTCCCATTCTCATCCTCAACCCTCACCTCATTCTATCTAATCCTCATCCTCGTTCCCAGGCATCAAGTCCCGTCAATTGGCTCGCCTGAACGGATAATAAACTTCAACCCCAAGGCAGAGGTATATCCTACAGGGACCAACCGATGTGGCACGGCCCCGCCCTGATCACCGTTTCTCGAGTTGACCGCACCGCCACATCTCCAATACAGTATCCTGGTGATGGTTGGATCGTTGCGATACTCAAGTGTCATCTGCAGCCATACGAGTACTGCAGTCGCGAATTTTCTTCTACTTAAACCGAATTGCTAAATGAGGGGTATTCGTCGGCAACCTTCGCTCTTTGACCTCGTTCTTGGAGCTATGAGTGTCAAAGCTGCAAGAAGGTGGAACTACTGCAAGCATACAACCGCATGTCTTCTCCCCGTGCGTCTCAATGTGGGAAGCTCTTCTTCCATAAGACTCGATTGTCTTAGGGAAGACCATGGCCTACTTTGTCCAAGACGATGCCGTTGCTTGTAGTGAAGGGAAAATTGAGTTGGGCAATTTCGTACACTACGTATGGAGTACTCCTACTGTACCTCCCTGACCTTAATCATCCATCTTAAGAGAGGGGTAAGAGTTGGGTGAGATCACTGTCCTGAAAACTACCTCAGAGTCCTGCTCCTCCAGCCGATTTCTCTCTCTGCCGGTTCTGAATGGTCGTCGTTGGTTTCGCCTTCATCAACCTGCTCGGGCGATTTGCTGATCAGCAAGATCATCTGGGCATCGAGCAAGGTGTGCTTATGCTACCTTGTTAATTTCGCTATCACCAAAGGCATTCGATAGCATTTCAGACGTGTCAGTCGCTCCTATGCACGGTACTTTCCTAACAAGCCAATGCATTACAGAGTGATATGCGGTCTTAGCATGCCGCCCCGCCCCTCTGCACATTTTCAGTCGAATCAGGGCTCGATCTGCTGAGGCTGCTCATGCACATCAATTTTGTCATCACTAGGACAATCCTTGGTTCTGCTTCATTTTATATTTTTGCTTTTCATCAGGTATCCTCTCTACCAGTCATTACGGACTGTTTGACTAGATATTGCCCGTCATGTGATGTGCTTGTTGGCATTCGTCCTCCTGGGACATTTACTTATCACACAACAGTGAGAAATGCCATTGCCTGGTCCCGGTTACTGTCCATGCACTTAATTTGCGAAACCCAATACCGTCTGTCCTAGCTGACATCGTTGGGGCTATGGATATCCCACTTACAAATGTCTCGCAATGCAATCAATGTCACAGTTTACAGACTTTGTCCAAGGATGTGAACTATCCGCCCAAGTTGGTGCAGGTTTTTGACATTCACTAGAGGCAGAGCCATGCCACGAAGATTGAATAATGTTGAATTAGCTACTATACCTTCTTGGCATGACACTGAACTCAGACGAAGGCACGCGCCCATTGACTGCATACATTCCGATGGCCGGGGTGTGACGATGGCTATTGGGAACTCCGCTGGCCAGCCACTCACCAATGACAGTGGACAAAATCACCGATAGGCGTCTATCATGCCTCACCGTCTCGAATCAACCTTTGGCCCTGCGGCACGAGCTCTCTGGTGAGACTGACTCATTTTTGGGGCCATATTACCGCAAGGTATGTGTCACCGCTTGGAAAGCTGAAGGGAAGCAGATGAGGATTGTGCACTTATGCAACAAGGCAGGCATTTCACCTGTCGCTGACATTTCGCCGCAAAATGGTCAGAAGGTGATCCTGACCCTGGTCTTCTGCGCTTCGCTGCCCAAATGACAAGGGTTTTATCCGGCCAGTGCCGACTCACAATGCTATGTTTACTGCCCCTTTTGCTATGACGGCTCGGACCGTCTTTGGCTCGTTATGACGGGCGAATTTTACCAGGATACCAGACTGGCAGTGGATTCAACGAACACAAGGCTAGGCGGCCAGTTGCCGCCATGAGGGCCCCGGGTGTATGTATCTGACACAGCCACAGCTCTGTCAGGGTCGTTCGAGCGACCCGTGCCGGTCAACATCATGATTGATCGTTTTCCACGTCATCAGCAACATCTATGCGGTGTACACCAGAGTGGGGGGAACTCGTATGCGGGGCTACTGTCATTCGTATGTTTCTTCTGTCGGACATTGTCTCGATATGTATAATGACCGCAGGCGCTCTCAGCCTCCCTTGCTCTCCTCTGATGGCGCCGTTTCTCGCACTCATATGCCCCACCTTCCTCCTTCACCGTCTCTAATACTGTTCTAGTGATTACTCAGGAGTAGCAATTGAGCTCACTGTCTTGTCAAAGCCACACGCGATCCACTGTTTGGTTCAAACCGCACAATAGTTCTCACAGCAGTTGCAATCAGCCAAAATGTCACGGCAGCCGAAGCTCTGTCCAAAGTCGCACATACCGGGCTATCCCAATGCGTTCTCTGATCTCGCAGCGTTGGCGTCATTATCGCAGCCGGAACCTAGGTCTGGGCCAGGCGAAGAGAAGTCGGAACAGCGACTCTTTCGAGTCAAGCGAAAGCATGTCCTGAAAGCTTGTGATCGTTGCAGGGTCAAGAAAACCAAGGTTGGTGCCTGAGAAGACACTGAGGACGATGTTTCTCCAGAACACAGGACGCTCAGTCATGCTCACCTGCAATAGTGTGATGGAAAGCAGCCATGCAACCGTTGCTCAGCGCATAACCACCCCTGCCTCTTCCGAGAGAGGAAAGCCACACAGACAAAAGTCTACTCCCGAGGGTGAGACCATTTCAACTGCTTCCTCACGCGTTCCTCTCACACGCTTATTGCTTTGCCTCCTCTCAGGTTTGGTAGATTTGTAAGGAAATCGAGTCTGACAAGCTTTATCTGCCTGCAACAGATTCGTTGAAATGCTCGAATCGCATCACTCACTAGTCGTGAAGGCGTTGCAGAAACTTTACAAACTATCCTTGAACAAGGAGGGATTCCCCGGAGAGCCGCTTCCCGAAGCTTCTGATGGGTACCCCCTGACGCACGCTATCTTGGACCGTTTGGGACTGATCAAGCAAGCCGAGGAGAGTCCTGAAGACAGCAATGAAGACTCAGAGGATCTACAGTATTTGCGTTTGTTGTCCACTTCGGCTGAATGCAGCGCAACGACAGACCCCTCTCCGGAACCAGCTACTCCCCCCGAACCGTCGTCCAGCAACTGCAGTCCCGTTGACCTCTCCCCTGTGACTGAGTGGAAGTGGAACTTCCCTTCAGTTCAGTCTGTCCGTTCAGAGCAGTATCATAGCTATTCGAACCAGGATTTTGCTGGTCTGGCGCTGTCTCGGACCAACAATCTCACTGGTGATACTACATGTCTGGGGACAGCAATAACTGTGCTCGGCCATAACCATCCATACCTTTACTATCTAGATACTTGTAGCGCGGATGCCAAGGAGTCGCTTGGCTCTTGCGTGACTGCCGGGCCTGGTTTTCAACAGCCTGCGTCCGCTACCGAGATGCCTGTTAATATGCTTGGGGGCTTCGATGTCCACCTGCAAGAGCAACAGCCTCTTCATCCACCTCTTGTCCCTGGCTGGTCCTACCAACGCAGTTAGCATGTCTGTTCGGGGTCATCGGAAGCCAAGAATTCCTCCTTCTCTTCCGATCCTCTTCTGTCTGATTTAACGGCTTTGCTCTCCACCTTCCCTAGATGACCTTGAGGCCCATAGCCTATCCTCCTCTCATTCTCTTCTCCTTCTTCCTTTCATGCCCCATCTCTCGGTGCTCATCATTGTGCATGGCCTATGCCGTCGTTGTCGCTTAGTTTTTAAGGCCCTGAGATACCATCATCAGATATCCAAATGCAGTTCGTTTTTGTCTAAGTGAGCAGGGCATATTCCAGGCTGACGATCTGCCTGTTGAGTATCATATCACCGCTCCTGCTCTGAGATATGAGATCTATAAAAGGACACATCCATACACTGGTCATCTCACCCTGGGTTGGGAGTTACTTCCTGTGGTGTGAAGCCTTCCGATCTATCAGCCCGAGAACTACTCAAAAAGATGCCAGGCTCTATAATTGACCGAAAACGTTCGACCATCAACATCAGAGGAGTGCTCAAATTGATGCCTTGAGAACTAACAATAGGAGAAAGTTTGATTCAACTCCCAGAGTAAATGCAAATCTAACATGTACAATACAGGAAATAACTCCAGGAGCAGACAAACCATGGACGAGCATATTGCGCGGATAGATATTTTAGAAAAGAAGAAGAAACAAAGACGCTACATGGCCATATGAGGCAACATGGACGCAATCCGAGGCTTATATTGACTGAGTGTATCATTCCCGCGGAGAAATCATTGGTGGTTCTCTGCTTTTTTTGCACATAAATGCCTCTTCTGGGCTGTCAGATCAAAGACTCCTTAATCGTCCACGTCGGTTTCTGTGTTCGTGTCGCTGGTATCTCCCGCATCGCCATCCGTATCACTCTCCTCCTCGCTAGACTCATCAGATGGCTTCCGTGCCTTCTTCTTGGGCGGTTGGCCGGTCTTCAGGGCCTGCATTTGGCCAGCAATAGAATCTATCATCGGGACTTGATTAGTGACTGGACTGGACAAATGCAGAAAAATAATGCAATAGAACATACCTTCATCGGGCTCGCTGATGTCGTCTTCTTCCTCGAGAGCAGCCGCCTTGGCCGGATCGTCGACATGTAGAGTGATGTCCAGCTTTGTGTCGAGACCCAGATAGCTGTCACACAGCATGTGCATGACAAAGGTGAAGTCTCCTACCTGAGGAGGAGCCTGGAACTGCATCTTGAGAGTTTGCACGTTGAAGGTGGGCTTGCCTGCCTCGTCAAAGAGGGGCTTGTCGAAGGTGGTGAAGGTGAATGGGGGCACGGCCATCTTGCCCTGCTTGGCATCGGCCAGGAAAATGTGCCAGCGAGGAGAGTGGTCGCGAGCCAGGTAGGGTGCGTGAGCGAGTGGGGGTTGGATAGTTTCGATCTTGTTCTCGACCTGTTGGCCGTTGACAGTCTTGGTAGGTCTGTTCTTGGGGGGCTTTCGGCCCATGAGAGCGTCGAGGTCGTCCTCATCTGGGTCGATGTCTTCCAGCTCGGCGGGGTTCACTTTAGGGATGTTGGTGGAGCCCGGAGGGATGAACCGGGCTTTCACGACCAGTTGCACCAGACTGCTTGGGGTAATGACCTTCTCTCCCATCACTTTGAAGAAGGCTCTGGAGACTTCAAGAGCGGGAAGTTGCTTGGCGACGGATACGGCTGTCGAGTACTGCTTCTCGGACAGAAGACCGGCACCGACGGTCAGACTGCGGCGCTTGTCTTCGGGCAGGCTCATGAACTTCTGCACGGTGTAATGATCCTTGGCATCTGCGCCTTCAATGGCCTTGATGACTTCGTTGTTGAAGTATGGCAGTTGCAACAGTGGCGACGAGCCCGGGGCAACAGCTTGGATCAGATGCTGGGATGTGCGGAAGGAACCCAGGATAGGATGAAGGTTACCAAAGGCGAGGGAAATGGCTGTAAATGCTTCGTTCAGAGAGAGGGCAATTGGAGCAGCCTCGTATTTCTCTGCAAAAAAAATATCCGTTAGCGGACTGATTTTCAAACATACACAAAAGCCATATCTTACCTCCATTCAGTGTAGCATCCTCCAAGTCAATCCTGCCCAAGTAAGCCCACAGTAATGCGAGCGCCTTTCGCCGGGTGGAATCGTCCATTTGCGACAGAGCCTTGCGAGTCTCGGGTGCCAGGATCGAACCTTCGGCCAAAACCCTTTTCTCCAGTTTCGCAAGTCCAGCTTCAGCATGGGAGCCCTTAAGCATTTCCTTGAACTCCACGCCCGCAGACAGCGCATTGATGATACCGCCATCGGTGATGTCTTCCTTGTATTCCCGGAAGATGTTGCCCGCGCTTGCGACTAAAACTTTCTCCTTGGTGTAGCGTTGAGATCCATACCACCACTTTCCGACGATATAAGGCAACAGAACGCCGAGCAGAGCTCCGTAGACCAACAAGACGTATTTCCCATTTCCTTCCGAAACGATGAGCTTTGGGAGAGCAATGCCGATGCTGAAACTCTGTTTGCCATCGGGGTGACCGTATTGAATGTAGTTATTCCGCACTTCTTCATCTGTCAGCGCTTTGTAAGCCTTGGTCAGCTCAACGAAGCGCTCGTTGAGAGTCTCGATGGTCTCGTTCTTAGAGGGATCAGGGCGGATTTTGTCGGGATGGTAAATGAGAGAAAGACGCTTGTAGTGTCTGGAGATCGCTTTTTCGTCCGCGCTCTAGAAAAGGGAAGCAGGTTAGCGATCATTCGTTCACCCTTGCGAACATCAGCATGCTGGGTTGGGACTCATTTCATACCCTTGAGATACCCAGAATTTCGTATGGATCCCAGATCTTGGGTGCGGTTCTCGCAGTGACAACGATAAGATAAGCCATCCATGCCATGATAGCATAGCCTGCAATGACGGTCACTATGCGCTTGATACGGCGTTCCTTGCGCAGGCGTTTCCGCTTCTGCGCTTCGATGAGATCGCCATGTTGTGGCTTGTAATCTGATTGTATCCGGGGGGCGGTATTCTCGAGCTCTGAATACGACTGTCAGTCATCCATGGCTCCATTTATGCTTCCAAGCCACTTCTGCGACTCACCCTTGCTCGGCTTGAGAAGATTGTATGTGAGAGGGAGGGTGACGAGGCCGGTAAGAGTCAGGATGAAGAACGGGAAAAATTGTCCCTAGGCAGATGATAAGTATGAGATGGACAAGAACAGAAGCATGGATTTGAGGCAAAAGTCTCTACCTGTTCATCATAATTGTAATCTGTAGACATGGCGAGGGTATTTCACTGCGGACACGGTTGCCCTCAGTAATGCTGGGGTATTAGAGCTAGCAAAAAGAAGGCAAGCTATGAGAGAGATCACTCATGGAAGATGATATCTGTCGTCAGAACAAATCAAGATATTGCCTCCAGGAGCATGGTCTCCTAAAAGAATTAACAAAGGAGTGGAAAGGACAAAGGAAAATGCTGTCCAGTATCCAGCACCCCAATTACCATATCATAGCGATGGCTGAACTTGTGATTGACCGTGTCCTTTACAGGGAGGGTATTCAACACCGCCTTCCTCTTATGGCTTAGCTGGACCCTCAATAAACACAAGGCTGTTTATTCATCATCAAACCGTACAACTCCAACTCCAATGATGATGATAACGATGCTGACGCCGTGATTAAGATATGTTTACTATCGAGACTTGAGACTTGAGAAAGAAAATCCACGTGGTTTTATTTTATTCTATTGTCCAAAGAGGACATGGCTCTATTGTTCATGAACATACTGACATGCTGACATCGCAGTTGTCATTACTCGATGGACGACTCAGTCCTGACCTCTATTTCTGCCTAACGAGCCTTGATAACCTAGTTTGTCCTGTGCAGTAGCACTATGATGCAGGACCTAGTCCTCCGAATTTCAGTCTGTGGAGGTGGAAAACCGCGCTGCCCTCTCAGAAACTGACGTGACAGGAAAATCCCATACGCTGTTGGTTGGGTGCAGTGAAAACTGCAGACAAACTCGTGATTCACGAGTTGTTTGTCGGGCGGAGAGAAAAAGTGACCATCCTCGACAAGCTTGTTCACAGGGAACTCAAGCATCAACAACCATTCGAAGGTCGGACGCGAATTCAACCCGCGAAAAAAAGCCGGCGTGGTAGGTCATCGGGTTTTCTCGATATGAGCATTGCCACATCGCGTGGGAATATTCTGAACCAGGAATCACATGGCCAAGTGTTTGGTAGACCAATCCAATACCCGCGTGGTCGGCTGTACTCCAAGGAAGAGATCAGGCCAACGGGCATTTTCATTGCTGCAAGTCATGACTTGGGGGTTCCATGTAACCTGGTGCCCTCGCCAGTTGGGAAGGGGGTCGGCGCTTGTACTGTGTGTTGCGTCCTGATCGTGGCGTTCGATAGTGGTCGATCGTTCATCGGTTTGAAATTTGATTTTAGCTATTTTGCTTCTCCGTCGCAATGCCGGATGAGAACAGAAAATCGAAACCAGCGACACGAGGCCGGTTCTCCGTTTACGGCGTCACCCAGGTAGCAGCTTCAAGGAGTGCGGCCTGTTGCGAGATTGAGAGTCAGAATGAATTCAAAGGAAAAAGCCTGCGAAGGAGGATAACTCACGGGTCGATATAATCGAGGCCACCGAAGTACTCCAGCATGCGATAGCAGAGGTCTACATCGTCACCTGGTTCACCTCCAAAAAGACGATACTGCTCTGCCTCCAGCGGCGACTTGCGGTCACGCACCTGCCTTCCCGAATACCCATGATGCCAGGTCTGGGCGGAGGGGATCGGGAAGCGGTCCGGTGAACTGCAGGCGGCCCTGGACTTGCTCACACAGTATGCAGAGGGAACGTTTGAGCCGAAGGAACACGAAAAGGGCGGAGAAGGATCGGATGAGTCAACGCTGGAGCTGCGGTTCCGAGATCTTGGGCGTGTACGACGTCTGTTATGTCTCTGTCCCATTCTCGAGAGGGAATTGTGCGAGGACGATGTTCAAATGAAGGACGAAGGAAGTATATTTTTTTCGTTTCACTTTTTGAACTCCTCTCCTGTTGACGTAGGTAATAGTAATAGTATAAGCGGGCTGGATATATAGGAGGAGGAGTAAACAACTTTTAGAGAATCAGCAAGAGGGGAGTGACCATCACCCCTGGGAAGGATGAGATGAGGTGAAGAAAAAAAGAAGAAAAGAAAACAGAAGATCAGGAGATGCAGTATGATATAAAGACGATCAGGGTATATAAAGCCAAGGTAGGCATAGCTCTGACGATGAGCTGGTGTGCTGTGGTGTGACTCACTACCGCCCAATCCGGTAATCCATCTGAGATCACGTCAGGGATAGGCCGATGAGGATACGCCATCCTCCGCTTAGTCTGCACGGCTGCCGGACTGAAAACTCATCATCCCGAAAATCGGATCCACATTGACGAAGATCCACAAAGTAAGTCTAGAAGGTCGTACTCCGTAAAGCAGGGGTACCTAATTTGAAAATTTATGGTGACAGATGGACTAATCAGCATGGAGAATTGCGCGAAGCATCCCGAATCATCGATGTTATGTAGGTAGCAGATGCCTAACTATGGAGTCATATTCTGAGCACATTGAGCAATCTTGTGCGATATTCCAACTACCAGCCATTGAGTATTCGATGCCAGGAATGGTCAAAACAGTTTGCCCGGTTCAATCCGACTGTAAACTCAGGCTGTAGTGTAATTTGACTATATAATTTTGCCATGACTGCAGAATTAGAGAGAGCTCAGGAGAGATCCGGAAGAATCCCCTCTCATGTTCTACAGACAATCTGAAACAAGAAGCTCGATGATTCATGACTTCATCTGATCCACAAAAATTTTTTGTTTATTTTTAATATAAATCTCATTTTTCCTCCTCCTTTCCCAGAAAAGGTGGTATGACTCCGACAGAGAAAAGGGGACAATTCGGAAAGTCGGAGCAAGACAGAAAAAAACTCCGCTCCGGGCCCTACTATATGCGCCAAATAATGCCATGCCAATTCGCCAATTCGCAATAGTAATTAATGCCAACCAGAGTGGCAATCCATCATGCCGTGCGGTCCGATTATTTTTCATGGAAAGTTTATCTCATTGTGAGTGAAATTGCCTGGATTGGGTATGCGTGATTTCTCATTCTATCCGAATCTCCGTCATGCTTGGTTTGTTCAGTTAAGAGTTGTGAAACAGGTCTGGTTGGAAACTTTCGTATGTCCCTGTATATCCGGACCCATTCAATCAGTAAGCATCCATTACAATACTGTGTAGGCATTAGGTGATCCCAGTGCCGAGAGGCTAGTTCTAGGCCCTCATGTGCCCTTTTGACAATGAGGAACCAGGATGACAAAATGAAACCGTTTCCATCCATGACCCTGCGGACCGTCCTTCATCAGAAGCTGAAATTAGAAAGCCGGGCTAATTGTCGATCCCCCGACGGATGATCTCTAGCATTTCCTCCCCTTTGGGAGCTGTAGTCAAGTTTTCGTACCCAGAGCTGGTTACCAGGATGTCGTCCTCAATGCGCACACCACCAATGGGAATGTATTTCTCGGCCTCAGCAAAGTTGATATATTTTGCAAATGGCAGTTTCCGTGCATTCGCCAGAGCCAGTCGGGAAAAGTAAATGCCAGGCTCGACTGTGACCACCATACCTTCCTCCAGTAATGGTGCGGAAAGTGTACAGGGACAATGGCTCATAGACGGCACCAATGTCGAGCTGTAGTATTCCTTGTCCCCCTCCAAAGCTGTGAGCGGTTTCGCAGACACGTCATGCACCTCGAGTCCGACGTGATGACCTAACCCGTGTGGGAAAAAGACGGTCGACACCCCGGACTCTCGAATCTCTTCTACCGAACCGCCCTTGAGGATGCCTAGTCGCATCAACCCTTCAATTGCAATCACGTGCGCGAGGACTTGTAGGTCTAGAAATCGCACGCCTTTCTGTATACGCTTGATGCATTCCTCTTGCATCTCTTCTACCAGCTGGTAGATGTCCCGGGCCCGCGCTGTGGGCCAGTCGGCGGCCAGGGGAAAGGTTCGGGTTACGTCACTGGCGTAGCAGTTCCACTCGGCACCCGCGTCCAGACAGACCAGCTGTCTTCCGCGAAGCGGTTCATTATTCTTCACATAGTGAAGAACGGCCGCATTCTCCCCTGACCCGGCGATGATCTCATATGCTTGGTTCTTCGCTCCATGGGAGATGCACGTGTCCAGGAAGAGACCTTCGATCTCTGCCTCTGTCGACATTCGGAGAATATTTTCGAGGACCTTACGGTGAGCCAAAGCAGATACTCTATTCGCCTCTCGAATCATCCGGATCTCATGCTCATCCTTGATGCCCCGGGCTGCGTCCATGGCGGGTAACAGCGATTCGTCATCTAAGCGAAGGTCGGTTGACAGCACCTGGGGCTTCTGGGTATCATGGAGTATATATAACAAACTCGTCTTGTTGTAGTTATCCACCCATCGCTGGATGTCACCCTTCAGAGACGCATAGTACCGCACTTGATCGACATCATACCGTTTCTGAGCCTCTTTCACTGTCAAAGTCGGGCCCATCCATATGGCCCGGTGCAAGTCGAAATCGGGCACATAGAGCGTCAGGAGATCGTTCTTGACATCATATGTCAGATAGCAGTCTGCCTCATCCACTCCGCTAAGGTAGTAGAAGTATCGTCTTTGTCGGAACGGACGCGGCTGATCTGAATCTCCCCAACTGATTGTAGGCTGACCAACAAGGTAAATCAGACCAGCCGAGACACCAAGCTTCGCAGCTACTCGCCGAGCATGCTGCTTTGCTGCGCCGCGGGGCCGTCAGCCTCGCGATTTAACTTTTGGACTGGGGCAGAACCCAAGCGCTGAGAAACACTCTCTGAAGGGGGAGAGAGCGGGATGGAATCCAGGAGATCAGCACTCTACTAACCTGGATATTTATCGCAGTCATTGCTGGCCAGGATAATGCGGATATCAAGGGTATCGACAGCACTGATAACGATATCTGAGCGCCCTTGGCCAAGCATCTTCTCAATAGCTAACAGAACGACGAAAGGGAGCAAAAGGTGTTCAAGGGAAGTAGTTGAGGCCGCCAAAAGCAGGAAGGTAAGGAGCCGCGACGATCAAGGGCTAGCATCGGGGATGCAATGAAGGAGTCTCTCTTGGGCATGAGATATCTGTCCATCAATAGTGCCGCCGGCTATCTTAACGCCGTCGTTGACGTATGAGGTATTGTACTTACCGTAAGTTACCGCTCACAGGCATACAACAGGCAGACACAATCCATCCCTGCTCCGAGGACGCTGCATTTTTCAACTCAAAGACAAGGACAATCCAAGCTGAAACAGTAGCATGAAGAGACTATTTGCAGGGTTGAAATGATATCTGAACAAGAATTAATGTAGGAGAACATGACATTGACTGATTTGTTGCATATACTCCGAATGCATCTTCTCTTCCCGGAAGCGGCATTCTGTTGATCGTCTGGCCTTGTTCGTAACTTACATACAGACAGCAAATGACGCCCCAGCTGGGCGCTCGCTCTTGTTCTCTCTACTTCGCCTTGGACTTCCATTTCTTTTCCAACTTTTCTCCATCATTTCCTTGCTCTCGTCCCATCTTCTCTTTCGCACGTTTTGCGTGTCTATTCATCTTCTGTAATTAATTCTGTCTTCCTTATTTGAACATCATAAGAATCGAAGTCAGTCGACTCTGCCCCGACGGTCAATGAACGATGCGGGGATCTGAGGCATCGGGGCCTGGTGCTATCTTTGGTGCTCCCTCGACTCTCACCACCTCCCTGATAAGGAACCCGACGTCGTTTCCATCCAGCTCGGCTCCTCTCCCGTCGACGGACCCAGATGTGGTCGCTCAAAATGTCGAACATGTCCTGTTGTCATTAACGTCGCAGAGTGATGGCGGCCTGGTTGGCGTCAGTGGCAATTCCGGTTCGACCGGCAAGGGTATCTTGATCGGCGTCCTGTCTGCTTTTGGCTCTGCGGCTGTTGCTGTCCTCGTTCTCGCTGTCTTTTTCTTCTTCAAGTACACCCGACGTGGCCGGATTTTCCTTGATCGTATTGGGCGACCGGGTGAGTTTGATGATGAGCAGGCGTTTGCGCGCGAGGAGGCGGAGGCCTTGGAGGTCATGGATGACATGTCGCGATCGGAATACATGAGAGCGAAGTGTGAGTTTGTGCGAGGTCGACCGCGCTATGTATTAATGCTAATTGTGATGGTTGCCAGCGTTCGTGCAGGCCAATCCGCCCGAGTCGATGCAGACCGACATTTCGTTATCTCAGTTCCTTGCGATACAGGAGAAGGGCGTGTCGGCATGGGAGTTTCAACCAGAGTTGGAAATTGCCAATTGTTTTGTCGAAGGCCGAACGGAAATCGAGTTCTATGATTCGGAATGTAGTGTGCAGACCAACTTGCCTGTTCCGAAGCAGAATGATGTCTATTACTGGGAAGCGAAGATCTACGAGAAGCCAGAAAGCACTCTCGTCAGCATCGGCATGACCACAAAACCATATCCGTTATTCCGACTCCCAGGTATGTCAATGTCTGAATATTCATCGCTAGTTCTCCCACTATCCTGTTGCTAACACAGTTCGTCCCTTGTCAGGCTTCCACAAAACTTCTGTTGCCTACTTATCGACAGGTCACCGCCGATATAACCAGCCATTCTCGGCGACGCCCTACGGTCCTCCTTTAGCACAAGGCGATGTGCTTGGCGTAGGGTACCGACCACGGTCCGGCACAATATTCTTCACTCGCAACGGCAAGAAATTAGAGGATGTGGTCCATGGGGCTAAGACGCAGAATTTCTTCCCTACTGTCGGTGCCAATGGTCCTTGCACCGTGCATGTGAACTTTGGCCAGATGGGATTTGTTTTCATCGAAGCCAACGTCAAAAAGTGGGGTCTGGCTCCCATGACAGGCAGCCTGGCTCCTCCGCCGCCATATGGAAGCGAGCAGGGCAGCATCCTTCTTGAGTCCGGTCGCGAGAGCGCTGCTCAGATCTCGCAGCGGGTCTATCAGGACGCAAGGACAAACTCGACTATCAGGATCCCACCCTCTCGTAGCCCAGGCCCAGTCCGATCACCCACCGATATTTCCCTCGCTCCACTTGCGCATATTCCTTCTCATGAAGACGTTGGTGAAGGGTCGAGTCATGCTAACACCATTGCTGACGAACAAACTCCCTTACTGAACACAAGCGATTTTGATCAGGTTCCGCCTCCGGAGTACACGAGCCCGGACGGCAGTCGAAGAGGTAGTGACATTACAGGGGACCTGCCAAATCAGGGCTCCCCGCCGATACCGAGCTACGACGCCGCTGTGGGCGATCAAGCTGACAATGCCTCGAGGCCGGACGTCGATCACTAATTGCGTTACTATCAGTCGTGTTTCCTAACCTGAATTCATCATTCCCTTCTCGAGAAACCCTCTGTCTATTTACCCTCATATTATGTGTATATCTCCTTGGCATCTGTCTTACTATCAAATTTAGCGGGCCCGGTCTGGCGTTTCAATGGGCGGATCATTCTATGACTGGATTTCTATGGGTTATGCCACCATGCTTTGCTGTGGCAATGATATGATGTTATGTGTATAGGGATTGGAAATACTTTCGTTCTCTGTTTATGGTTCGCGCTTCGCCTTCAAATAAGTCACACGGCCAGCAGAAGGATTTGGCTGTAAGTTCTCCCTCTATGCCGGAGCTGAATGGAACCCGTAAGCTTTCGTATGTCCTTGAAAACATCTTACACAGCTGCAATCAGCCATGAGTCAAAGTGATACCTGGCTTTTATCTTAGCGGCGTGCAGAACGCGGACAAGTAAGACACAGCGGCGCTTGAGAAGCTGCTCTATGTCGTTTAACTGGCTTTGAGGCCTTGTTCTAGGTGTGCACTCGAATTTGCTAGTAAATTTCCTCTCAGCTTCCACCGATCATCAGTGTCCGGACTGTCTAATCCCAGGTGACTATTCCCTAAGTGAAGCAGATATACCCTCCGTCAGGTCCAATACGTTTCCAAGCTACTCAAGCAGCTGTTCTCCCAATAAGCCCCAATAACACCGTCCCTCCAACCGCAGCTTCCCGACGAGAATACTGCGCGACGGTAATTGATCGAAGAAAGGACCTTGGCTCATGTGTTCTCAAGCCGCTAGAATGACATCTACTAAGAATAGAGATTAGGGAGAATCAAACGTCCAGGTCTCCAGCTTTTCAGTCTGTTCCCTCCTGATACGATCTCTTTCTCTCATGAGGTTAAGTCTGAGTTCGCGGGCTTCTTCAATTGTGAGAGGATATGGTTCGAGGTAATCCAGCACCATATCCTGCAGCTCTACTGGGAGCCCCTTTTGAGCCAGAACATCTCTTCGGATATTGAAGCCATCCCACCAGTCCGCCTGCTGGGGTGGGACGTTGGCGGTTGAGATGATACGGACATAAGGGTCGACTAGATGCAACACCAGTGACTTGCAATGGCCCGGTTTACTCGGATCGACGAGATGAACGGGAGCGAGGCTGGTTTGGAAAATGTTTGGGAAGGTCACAAGACGGCCCTCGCGGCAGGAAACTTGGCCCAGGTCCACGATCTGTTTTTCTTCCTCATTGCACCCGAAGACCTGTGGCAACCAGGGGAGACCGAATCCCTTGTCGAAGTAATTCTCGTTGAGCCAGTCCAGCGAAAGTCTCTGACGGAAAGAGATCATCGGAGGGGTGACATTTTCGCAGGAATAGTTGTATATGGCCGTTGCGCAAACATGTTCATTCTGAGGTTTTTGTCAGCATTGGAGGTTCTTGCTTTGTACAAGATATGCAGCTGTCACGGGATAGCTGGCAAAGAGAGAACTTGAGGAAATAAGTCTTACCAATAGGCCCTGGAAATGCCAGGGAGTCCCGGTGTATCCTGGCGTCTCAGGTGTCAACTCGATGTTGGCCAGTTTCACAATGACCTGCAGTCCTCTGTGACGGAAAGTGGTTCGAAGATCAATAGGGTTCTCGCTTCTCAGTCGATCTAGCCAGAGACGAAGGGACCCGGTCTCTGGGGGCTTAACAGGACGAGACTTCTCTCTTTCCCAGAGACGGTCATAGATATCCTCTAAATCACTCAGACTTCCAAGCTCCAGGGCTTCACGCAGGGAGTTGGAGTTCGGCAGGTATTCAATTCGTTCAAATCTGATCCTATTTCGGCGATGTAGTTGCTCGGATCTTAAAGGTGTCAAACTCGAGTTCCACAGAGGAATGGCCCTTGTGATGATCCGTTCGAGTGCATCATAAAGCGGGCGATGGTGATCTGGGCGCAGATTATTGATGTAGGATGCAATACGGCAGCTCTTAGTGGTGTCTTTGAATTTGATCTCACATGGCAGCCACTGGTAATCGAGACTATATGCCGTGAACAAGTCAAGAAATTCACGCTTGGTTCTGGTTCTGCCCTTATTGATTACGCTGAAGGGATCGTGCTCTTCCCACTTCACCTTCAGAACCTTGGCCCTCCCTGAATGGGAAAGATAGTCGTCGAGTCCGATCGTTCTGTCTGGGAGTATTTGACTACGACTATAAGCGAGCGCGAACAACGACGGATCAACCAAGTTGACGACCTGCCCTCCGGAGCCGGGCTCGTAGTCCTTGTCCTGCTCAGTAATATTCTCCAGAGGCTCCACATCCTCCTGGAGGGCAAGCTTGATATCTTCTGTGATAGCAACGTCGGATTTAACCACGTCTCCGTCCAACACAGTGACCATTCCCTTTTCGAGGAATATTTCAGCCTTGAACTTGACCTCCTCGATGACCCAATCCATCATCTCGGGGCTAAGGCCGTTGTAGACTTCGAGGAACTTCTGCCGCCATTCTCTGGCACAATTCTCGTCGAAGATCTGACCTACTATTAGCATGTTTCTGGGAGCAGAACTGGAGCGATGACTCTCACCCTTTTCTCCCAATCTGGCTCATCCGTGATATTGTTCATGACGTGCACCATAGTGACTTCCCAGAGAGTCCTTTCAGAGCTGAGACATATCAGTGGTCGAAGGAGTTTCTATCCTTGCTTGAGAACTTACGTGCAGCGCTCAGTTATGTTTGACGGGTGCAAAGCTATGCGAAATTGATCCTTTTGATTCAAACTGTCAGAAAGATCCGACTCCGTATGAAGACGAGAGGAAGTCGGCCAGAGAGACAAGAGACACCTCTTACCGGGTGTTCATGGAACAAGGATATAGAGAGACCTGGTAGCATAAGCGGATCCGACTGAATTCCCGACGGAGGTCCTTCCTCCTTCGAGCTCTCCATGTCGAATGCGGATTGAGACTGCTCCTTGAGTAATGATACCTTGTTGTGAGGAGGTTTGAGATGCAAGGCGTGCTGTTCATCATTCTGGAGACGAGACAAAGTAGAGAGAAGAGGACAAAGTCTCGCAGTGCAGCTTGGTGTTGATAAGATGGTGGACCCGCGCTGAGATATTTGCATGCACTGGTGCGCATCTCATCCCAGGTGTATTCCACTGTATGGTGTTCGGTGGATATGTGGTATCCTATTCACATATTCCTGCAAGCCAGTGCAGTTCTTCCATCAAAGCTGGTTCTGAGGAGAGGCTTGGACATGCCTAATTTTAAAGCATGAGATAATAATGCAGATGTTCAGCATTGTTGAAGACAGCGGAAGATTATAGAGCAAGAACTGGCCATTTCAGAGAACAAGGCTGCAAGGCCGGGATTGCCAATGCAAGACCTCAGGCGCCCACTCTGCTATAGCAATAATCTGCTATGTAGATATTTTACTACCCACAGTGATGGCTTAGAGGGAGATGGTTGAAATAATTACTTATCCAGTCCTCCAGCAGGAAATGATCTCCACCAGATCTCCAGCAGTCAAACTCAAAGGTACCAATCAGCAGCATCTTGTCTCCACAGATAACATGTTATATTGATGATTTGAGCGGTAACGTCATCCCAGTCCGTCAGTCTATCAGGTCGCCGACTACAAAACCTCTGCATACCTCTCTACGTTTCTGAAAAAAAGGGTTTCCTGTACTCCTGCTTGTACGGTGGTTCTTTTCTCTCAAACAAGATGGTACCATTAACTGATGAACAGCTGGGAAGTCTGGAATGGTTGAGATTCTCGTCGACGTGACCTCCGACCGTCGACCACCTGAAACTTCGTCCTTCACTCCTCCTGTCTGTAGCCGCTTCCTTGCCAACAGTCAGTCACTTCCTTCATCGAATTGCTTCTAGAAAAGGTTTGCGGATGAGAATTATTCTCCAGTGATCTCCTCGTCTTAATCTTATCTCATACTGAGTTGCAGATCCTTCTCCAGACCCATCACAATCAGAGTCATCCATGGTCCGTCGGCCTTATCGCCGACCTCGCTCAGCCACTCAAAACCGTCCACTAGTGTGATCCTTCAGAGACTCCCTCCAACAGTTAGACTGATGGTGTCAATCCATTTGGATGACTGTCCGCCGTCGAAATTCTGACTGTAATTTTTCTGTGGCGGTAGACTCGGGCGCGCCTTGCAGCCCTGTGGACGAGAAAACAATCACATTGAGTGTGCTCGGATCTTAGCTCTAGTCGGATTGCTGGGTACTATCGCCAATTAAAGAGCCGTCGTGTTCCAACCCGCCATTCTGGAATCGCATCCCTACGATCTGGACCAGTTTCTGTTGGCTGTGATACGAGTCTGGGCAAAGCCTCTCATAACTTTCGTACTGCCCAAAAAATAAAGAGGTCTTAAGTTCTGGGACACCTCCTGCTCTGCAGCCAGCCGGTTCCCACCAGGGATCCAACAGAACAGTCACGCGCGTCGCTTACTCACATACTGCACCCCGAAACTTGCGGGTGACACGAAGCTTTTGCTTTTGCGACCCTCGTTCTCGTCTATTCCGAGTTGTGGAGTAGGAGTTGTGATAGAGAGTGTTTAGGACGCATGCAGAGCTGGTTATAGGTACACACATAAGACTTCGCATTTGCTCGGTTTCTACATTTGCTCCCAAGACTTTCATCGACTGTACTGAGACATTGCCTATCTCGGGGCTCAATCTTCCGAGACGGAGCATTGTTTCGTGAGCTGCCGAGCCTCCGACACGTCGAAACGAAGTTGTTCAGTTGTTTGTCTCGGGAGCGTGTACGGAAAGGCTGGACAGCTTATTGACAATGGCGGATAAAGCAGCCTTTCAGGTGATTGTCTTGGTAAGTCCATTGTTTCTTAGTTCGCCCTTGGGTTTACGTATCGGAAAACATGATTTTGGCAAATTTAGGTATCCCTATGAAATAAAATTGCTTTTGAAATTTCTCTTTTCCCCCTCTTCTCACCGATTTATCCATCTTGCCCGTTTCCAAGTACCTCTTCTGTATGTAAACGATCGCACGGTGAACTGTGTGGACTA